AGTGGTCAGAGTCCTGACAGACAACACAGCCTCAATGTTCTACATCAGCAGACAAGCGGGAGCGCGATCCTCAGCCCTTTGCCAAGGGGCACTCCATCTCTGAGACTTCTGCCTCGACCACGGAATCCATCTAGAAGCGTCGCCTTCTGGGTTCCAAGAACATCCTAATGAGGTGATCTACTAGCAACTTTTCCTCTTACCACAAGTGGATGTTCCACCCGGAGGTAGCCGGCACGATCTTCCAGAGGTGGGGAACTCCCCCAGTGAATTTGTTCGCCACCAGGCAGAACAGAAGGTGCCACTGGTTTTGCTCCAGATGGGGTCTGGGCAAGGGCTTCCTCTTAGATGCCTTCCTCCTGCCATGGGCAGGAAATCTGATGTATGTGTTCCCTCCGATTCCGCTCATCAGCAAGGTTCTAGCAAAAGTCAAGATCGCCCCAGCGTGGCCTCGCCAGCACTGGTTCGGGACGCTATCAAACTTTTCAGCGATCCTTCCCTGGTCTCTGCTGAATCAACCAGATCTGCTGTCACAAGATCACGGTCGACTCTTGCACCCCAACCTCGTGTCCCTCCCCCTCATGGTGTGACTGAACACTGAGGAATGGGCCTGTTCGGAAGGGGTCCAGAAGGTGGTCCTCGAGAGTAGAAAGCCCTCAACTAGGCAGACCTACCTGGCAAAGTGGATGAGGTTCTCCCACTGGGTGGCCAAACGGGGCAGCTCCCCTATGCATTCTTCGGTGCAGTCGATCTTAGACTACCTGCTTCATTTAAGAAGCCAGGGCCTAGGGCACTCCTCCTATCAGGATCCATCTGGTGGCCATTTCAGCCTTTCATATGCCAATACAGGGATAGACTGTGTTCTCCCATGACAGGATGGCCAGGTTCCTTAGAGGCCTTGAGAGGCTTTTTCCTCAAGTCCGGTCCCCGGCCCCTCAGTGGGATCACAACTTGGTTCTGTCCAGGCTCATGGGCCTGCCCTTTGAGCCTTTGGCTTTGGGCTCCCTGTCTTACCTATCGAGGAAGGTAGCTTTCCTGGTGGCGGTGATGTCGGCGAGGCGAGTCTCCGAGCTGTGAGCCCTGACCTCAGAACTGCTGTACACGGTCTTCCATAAGGACAAGGTCCAGCTCCAGCCCCACCCGGCTTTCCTTCCCCAGGTGGTATCCGCTTTCCACATGAGCCAGGACATCTTTCTTCCAGTCTTCTTCCCTAAGCCCCAGGAGACTAGTGAAGAGAGGCACCTTCACACTTTCAACGTAAGAAGGGCTCTGGCTTTCTACCTAAATCGGACAAAACCTTTCCGTAAGTCGACTCAGCTTTTCTACAGCTGATAGGATGAAGGGCCTCCCAGTGTCCTTGCAGAGGATTTCTAACTGGATCACTTCTTGCATTCGGACCTACTACGAGTTAGTGGGAGTCCTTCCACCGCTGATCGTCGGAGCCCACTCAACCAGTGCACAGGCATCTTTGGCGGCCTTGCTGGCACACTTCCCGATCCAGGACATCTGTCAAGCCGTGACATGGTCCTCAGTGCACACGTTCACAGCCCAGTACACCATAACCCAGCAGGCCAGGGACAATGCTGGGTTCGGCGGAGCTGTGTTGCAATCTACACATCCGTGAACTCCTACCTGCCTCTGAGGGGTACTGCTTGGGAGTCACCTAAGTTGAATGGACATGAGCAAGCACTCGAAGAAGCAAATGCAGTTACCCTTTCCATCACTGGTGTTCTTCGAGATGTGTTGCTCATGTCCATTCCTCAACCCGCCCTCCTTCCCCACTGTCGGAGTTTCCGGCAAGAAGGAACTGAGGGTGCAGGGAACCGTCAGCGTCCCTTATACCGCAGCATGTGCGCACCACTCCAGGGGGCATCAGAGCCGGTCCCCTACGGATACTGCTGAGGGAAAAACTTCTGGCACTGGTGCATGTGGCGAGCACACACACACCTAAGTTGAATGGACATGAGCAACACATCTTGAAGAACACCAGTTACGGAAAAAGGTAACTGTCTTTTTTTTTTTTTATTTTTTTTACTGTAAATGGCTAGTTATTTTTTAATATGTGCTGAAGAATATACATATATCTAATCAAATACCACATAAAACAGCCTAAACAAAAACATACAGATTTGATTGCAGAATGAATGCTTCCCTCTTTCATATTGTATTCCGGAAATTGTGATCTTAATCATCTTAATCATATTTATGTTTAAAACCATCTCTGGCTGCAGCTAATTCTGACTGTTTCCTAACTAATAAGAGACACAGACTACTGACCTTTGTGATATTTGGCTGGCAAGAACCTTGCATTTTTATACATTCTGAGCATGGCTGGGGAGCTGCAACACAAAGCAATGCCATTATAAGAGTGTTAACCTTGTGTTTGAACTAGTGCAGTAGATGGATGAGTTCTAATGTGGTGGCATAATGTGCTGAACACTTAATAAGCTTTTGAGTTGTTATCTAGCTGAGAAGCAGAACTGAAAATGTATTTGAAGAAAATAGTATCTGTTGTCATTTTGGAATTTTTAACCATATTAAAATTGTATATCTGTTGAGAGGCAAGAATTTTTCAAGCTTTATACCCAAAATGCAAGGTTCATGGTTAAACAAATGTGTACACATTTCCACTGATCCTGAACTCTAGCATA